CGCTGAGCGCCAAAACACCATTGTCGTTCCGGCCTACCTACACCCGCTGCGCAAATCGAACGCCCAGCCGTCGGAGGAGTTCCACATGCATGGGCGGCACAAAACTAGCCAGCTTGCCATCAATGGCAGCGAGTCCATGTGCCCTCAGCCAGCTGGTACCGGACGGGATGGTACGAGCAGCACGGCGTCCCCGCCCTCGCATGCGCCGCTGGCGTCCGCGCGTAAGGTCGTCGAGGCCCATGGGGAGACGAGCAGCGGCATCTAGGAGACGGCCAGAGGACCAATCGGAGATGCAGCTTTGAACGCGGAAGTATGGGGAAAAAGATGACTTCGTTCGTGAGGGGAGAATGGAATCCTCCAAACAAGGAACTGCTTAGAGCTGTTTTACACTTTCCAAAGCCAAACAACCTTTTCTACAAACTGATTCTTTGTAAAAAAGTAAGTAAAACAGATTTTGCAAAAAAAACCGGCTAAAAACTTGTTTTCTATAAAACCATTACTAATACTTGCTATCCAAACAACGCCCGAGTCCTTAGAAGCACCTCCTTAAGAGTCTTTTTCAAAAAGTCCTAGGACTAAAGAACCAAACACCACCTAAAACGACACTAACATCTAACAAGAATAGTAGTGCAAAAGAATTATCAAACGGATAATCATAGCCGAACCACATAGAACTGGACCAATTGTCTAATGTGGTAATTCTACAAGCAAACATATTCCAATAAAAATAATGAAATCCATTTTAGTTAATCTAATCCATAAAGAAATGATTACATGTGAAGAATTACTACCATCCAACTGTCAACTGGGCGAGGGCTTGAGGCGCGGATATGTAGCTCAAAAACCCAATCTCTGTTTGATTTGATAGTCAGAAAAAGTACGTGTACATGACATACCCACTGTTACTGAAAATAAAATGGCATCACAGGGCATGCCTTCAGCGTACCTAAAGCTCGTATATAGTACAACAACAGTGGTCAATGATCCAGTAATAATATACTCAAGAGATATGTAAGGTCAAGAAGAGAATTTACTTAAACAAAGTTGTTCCGGTGAGACACTGAGGCAAAACACAATGAGATAAAATAGCAGCTCATCATACAAGCGAAATTGACTTTTATTATACCATGGAACTTAATCCATTAAACAACCAAGGAAACCTGACGATGATGCTAGGCTAGCGGACATGCATCTACCACATGGAACACGCAGAATATACATGCAACTTGACTTCAATATGTTAATGCAATATAAGGATGGAGAAGGAACACACACTGAAGAGGAACACATAATTACCGGAAGCACACTAGGACTCGTCGGGCCTGGGACTTGCTTAGGATGTGGGGTGGCGAGACTGATGTCACATCTACCACTAAAGAGAAAATCTACGATGCTAGATGTACTGTTCCACCAACTGAGACAATAGTGATAGAAACGTCAACCCCTAGCAGCGACCGGCAGGCTGAGCTTTGCCGCTCCTGCAGAGAGGAGAGGGAATACGAATGTCACATCACTACATCAAATCAAGGCACTCATAAAGCAAATCGAGAGGGAGGGAGAAGGAGAGGAGATGCTCATGCTCTTGTTCGGGTTAGGCTTATGACCTGTGTTGGAACTGAGGATGGACGGACGATCAGACAAGAACACGAGGAGACCATTTGCCCGGCGACAAACGCCCGCGGCGACGAATGCCCCGCCGGCGACGAACGCTTTTTCTCTCTTGTATTCCACTCGACTCAGTCATACAAGCAGTACACGGTATGGTTATATAGACAGAGCAGGCACGCAGGCCGCGCTTCACTCCTGCCCACGCACGCCCACTCCCCCCGCATGCATGATCTGCATGGCCGCGCGCATAGTGCGCACCACTACACGCACTAACAGCCAGCTCCAAAAGATTGACTGGATCCCTGCTGCTCCCGCTCAACTGGGCGCGGCCACAGACCGGCCTTCGGCTTGAGCCTAACACCCATACGTGGCACACACGCGCCCACCTACGCGCCACGTACACACAAATGGCTTATTGCCAACCCTCTCCTCCTAAGTCATGACTTCGCCATCGTCGAAGTTGTTGCAGCTCCCGTCGTTGTCGTCGTCACGAGCGTGACCCAGCCCGCGGACCTGACCTGGCGCAACGACGCCGGTCGCACCGTGCTCCATCACGACTCCGGCGACACACACCGAGCTCCTCCTCCACCGGCCACACACGCCTGACGTCCCTTGGCGCCTTGCACGTCGCGCGCGCACCCGACGCGCCCGACCGTCCCAGTGTGTCCCGCACGTCCCGCGCACCTGACGCGCCGGACGAGCCCGACCACACCAGTGCGTCCTGCACGTCCCGCGCGCATCCGACGCGCCCGACGAGCCCGACCGCACCAGCCGCTCACCGCGTCCGCCATGGCAGCCGACAGCAACAAACGCCGGAAGGATGTAGCCGAACTCGAGCACAACGGCGACATACGCCTCCTCCCAACGTCAACCGCACGCTCGTACGCGCGCCCGCGGTCCCGACGCGCCCAGTGCGCACCCATAACACGCACCGGTCGCGTCCGGCTCACCGCCGCGGCTTATTGCCCTGTACCGCCGCGGCCTTCATGCCGCCATGCAGGGCCTCCACGCCGCCACACCGTGCTGCGCCGCCGCGTCACCATGCAGCGCCTCGGCGGCCTCCGCGATCGCCGCACGTACGACGTCACCGCCCGCCGCCTCCGCCACGCGCCATGACAGCCACAGCGCCGCCCACCTCCATGGGCCGACACACGGCCTGGAGCATCGCGCAGCCGCTGGCGAACTCCGCCACCGTCGGCACACCTCCGGCAAGAAGAACGACACCCGAGATGTATCAGCTCATGATACCAAATGTTGGAATCGAGGATCGACGGACGATCAGACAAGAATACGAGGAGACATTTGCCCGGCGACAAACGCCTGCGGCGACGGATGCCCCGCCGGTGACGAACGCCTTTTTCTCTCTTGTATTCCACTCGGCTCAGTCATACAAGCAGTACACGGTATGGTTATATAGACAGAGCAGGCACGCACACCGCGCTTCACTCCTGCCCACGCACTCCCACTACGCCCGCATGCATGATCTGCATGGCCGCGCACATAGTGCGCACCACTACACGCACTAACAGCCAGCTCCAAAAGATTGACTGGATCCCTGCTGCTCCCGCTCAACTGGGCGCGGCCACAGACCGGCCTCTGGCTTGAGCCTAGACACCCATACGTGGCACACACGCGCCCACCTACGCGCCACGTACAGGCCCTTGTAGAAGAGGAACAGGCGGCGCTCGTGGATGTCTACCGTCCCACCGCTTCTCCTTGCCGAGCTCCTCCTGCCGGAATGCGAACTCTTTTTCAGATCGAGCGCCGCGGCGGGGATGACTGCTTCCGGCGCGAGGAGGGCCATGAGCAGAGCGATGGAGTGCACACAATCTGATTCGGTTGCGCAACTCAATGTTCTCGGTGGGCGGCGATGGAACCGCAGCTCCGCCCGCGTCACGTCGCGCAGGGAGGCGTCGAAGGGGAGTAACACCGGCGGAATTGATGCGAGCGGGCCAGTGGTCAGCGCTGGAGGAGCACCCTCACGAGGAGATTGTCGTCCAGCCGCCACACCACAAGGATTGGGGAAGGATATATGGTGGGGGTGGGGTGGGGGGGGGGAGAAGGAAGCGATTCCGGCGCTTTGTCGGGTAATCAACTGGGGAAAGGAAGCGAAACCACTCTGACCACGAGATCGGGGCGGCCGGCCGTGCGGGATGGAGAAAAGATTGGGTTGGAATGAGCGACTGGTGTGGTAGAGGAAAATACCGTTTTTTTTCAACGCCATGACCGTAGGGTGAATAAGGCTGATTGACTGATTTTGCAAGCTGATTGATGATGTGGCATAAGGCTGATGTGGACAGTGTACATGATGAGAGAATAGGTAAAAATGAGGAGCAACTTCTTAAGAATGTTATATATATCAATTTTGCTAAAGCACATCTAGATGTGCCATAAGTATTGCACATCTAAGTCCTATGTCATTGATCTTACGTTGAGATTCGTGTGGATATTTTTTTTTCTTTTTTTTTCTTTTTATACTTGATTCACTCACTTAGATGTGCAATAACTAGAGCATATCTAGATGTGCCCTAGACACATCCTATATATATATATATATATATATATATATATGGAAAATCCATCCTACCACCCGGTGGTAGTTACCCCATATGTCTTATATACTAGCATGTGGTAATATATATACTATTTTATTATGTTAAATATGTTCGTATACTATATCTAAGATATTTCAAAACGACTTACATGAAAAAATTGCACATGAGTCCATAGTTTTTGTTATATTTATGAAATACGTACATATTTGTACGTAAAAAAGAGCATACTCAAAAAATAGTACATACTACCTAAAAATTTGTATATATACTACCTAATCATTATTATATACTACATACTACACGTAAATAGGACAACTATAAATCAAACATTCTTTGCTAATTAAAGAAAGAGCGCTAGCAAGTTTCCTGACACAAGAATAAAGCTTATTCTTCCATAGATCATTCACACGCCACTTCCAGACATATTGCACCCTGTTACCTCAAAGTACTCCTCATGTAAACAAATATAAGACCGTGATCCAAACGGTCTTATCCAGTGATCTAAACGGTTTTATATTAGTTTACAGAGAGAGTACCATGCATAAAAAGGGTATCAAAGTTAAAGGTGAATTGACAAAAATTATTCAAATATTTCAAAATCTTGAGCATATTCGGTTACACAAAAGAAAAGTGCTGCGTCGATCGACAGTGGATGCATGCATGGGCGAGCAACGGGAACACATCCGTCCTTGCTTTTCCTACCATATGCATGTATGTGCATAATATATTTAAATTATTCACTATCCACTCATGCAGGCGCATATTTCCAACGCGACTCATACATGGGAATTAATTAATTACGACGATCTTGACCAACTGAAACTTGGACGGTATCGATCAATATTCTGGTTGGTAGGTTTTGCCGATCTTGAAATCGGTGGAGAAGACCTCGTCGAAGACGTTCTTCATGCCATTCTTGGACAAGAAGCGGAAGTTGAAGGGGCCAACCAGTGGCTTGGAGCACGAGACCTCCCACACGTCGCCCTTCTTGGTCAACGGCTGCCACTCCTCTGAGCCGTGCTGCCGGAGCTCCACCTCTGACAGGCTGTCGCCTGGCCTTGTGTAGTCGATCTTGAGCGCCAGCTTCTTTTTGTCGGACCCCTTCTCCACCGTCAACTTCACCCTCACGGCGCACATCGCACCGGCGACCAGCGCCGCCAGCACCACCACCGTGAGCATCCTGGAGGAGGAGGCCATCTTCTCGATTGGTCGAAGACTGGTTGAAATTTGATTGTTGTGTGTCTGTATGTGTGTAGTTGCTGCTGCGATCTGTGTGGATTCCGATGGATGAAGTACCTGCTATTTATGGACGGAAGAGACCGCCGGCGAGCGGTGCTCCAGGGATCTCGCTGGCTGGCCGTGGCCGGGCTAGGTCGTCGCTGCGTATGCGGCTGGCCATCACCATCGGAGGAACAACTACAGAGCCTCGTCTCTGACGGTATGAATGAAATTTAGAGGCCGTGCTTTTTTTTTTTGAGTTAATAGAGGCCGTGCTTAGTTGCCCGTAGCTTCCGGTTGGAATGAAATTCAGAGGCCGTGCATGCTTAGTTGGGCCAAATCGGTCCTGCCTATTCTTGGGTGATCTTTATTTTGTTGCTTCGCTTATGGAGCCGAGCAAAGGCAATATGACAAGGTCCTCTGATTCTAAATACTCGCGTACTAATAATCAACACTACTTTGTAAATTCTTCATTTCTAAATATGAAACAAAATTTGGAACACGGCTATGAACATGCGAGCATATACAAGCAGATAAATAGAGCAAGTACCACGCAACAATTCAACACAAAAAACTATATCTTGCTTATTGCGACTTGTGACTTGCTTATTGCGACCTCCCGCATGTCAGTTGGCCCAACAAATGGTTTTCCTTTTCACCCGCGCTCTCCTCGCCGTAGGGTGCTGGCTTTTTTTCCCCTCTTCATGCGAGCCTTCTCACAGGTCTTGTATCTTGGTTCTCTTTTTCTTTATATTTCTTGTTATCTGTTTAATTTTCTATCCTTTTCACTTTTCCATTCTTATAGTTTTTATTCGTTCTTTTTCTTATTTTTCTCATATCATTTTTTTCATTCTTCCTTTTTTAGTTATTTTTCCTTTAACATTTCGATCATGTATTTCTTATTATTTGTCATATTTTAGTTTTTCAGCTTATAATAGAACGTTCAATAATAACAAAAAAGTATACCGTCAACATTGTTTTAAAACATAATGTATTTTAAGAATTTTCATCATGTACTTCAGAAATGTTCATCGTGCATTTAAAAAATAATTATGATGTATTAAAAAAATCTTCACCATGTAATTTCATTAAAAATCTCATGCCTACTAAAAATGTTCATAGTTTACTGCAAGAAAGAGTTAGATTGTATTTCAAAATATTTACCATCTAATGTTCATAGCCATACTAAAATGTTTGATGTGTATTTGAAAAACGTTCATGGTGTATTTCAAAGATGTCCATCACGTATTTAAAAATGTTCATCGTGTAATTCAAAAATTCCTTGTGCATCTCATAAAGTTCATCATGCATTTAGAAAATGTCCATATTCTATTAAAAATGGTTGTCACCTATTTTAAAAATGATGTATCTTAAAAATAGTCATTGTATATTTCAAAATGTTTTTCTTTTATTTTAAAAAATTATCGTGTATTTTTTAGATTTCATTATAGAGCATTATTTAAAAAATTATCGTGCTCTTTAAATTGCACCAACAATCTATAAAAGTATGTGAACGCATATTAAAATACATGAATAAAATACAAAAACTCAAAATACTTCAAAAATTATATAAAAAATTTGAAAATAAAAATTTGAAAATAAAAAAGGACAAAAAATGGCGTGTCACGCCTGTGCTTTGAGAGATAGGCTCCTCGGGGAAATATTTAGTGCTACGGTCCTTGGCATGATACGCTGCTCCAGGGACGCATGGTACGTCAGATCTGAAATAAAGGGGCAGGATCAAGTCACTAATGCATTTACACATGGCCCCTTGGAACATTTGCACCTTTCCCCTAGAAAGTAAAATGTCTTCGCAAAAATTGCCTTAGACAGTTCCGTTGGTTGTTTCTCCTGGACCTAAGCACAGTACGTTGATCTCCATCCGAGCTTGCACTTTTAAATCCAGAAAAAAGAATTAAGACAACGAAACTGAAACTTCCATAGATAATCAGATCATTTACATGCTAAACACTAGCACCAGACACCAGTACTAGATCCAGCTGAATTACATGGCCACCAAGGCTAGTCAGATTCAGCTACTACAAGATGAGCTACAGTCTGAGCGCAATTACAGAATTAGAACCAAAACTGACCATGACAATGCCCAGTACTAGAACGAACCACTAAGTTGGTCGTGGCTTATCAGCAGACTAACAACTAACTAAACTTGAGAGCCGCGAGCCATGGAGTTTGCGCCATGTACACATCCATTGGTGGGCGCACATGAACACCTACATGATAAAATAAAGAATTAGAACCTAAAAAAGCCTTTCGAGAACAACCCAATCTTCTTCACTCTAAACTATTTAAAATAATTGAACCAATTCATTTGTGTACTTATATTGAGAGGTCTCCTGGTGTCCAAATGATGGGCACACACACATGAGTAACCTGGTTTAAGCACTCACCACACCAACCCTGTTTTAAGGATTCGGTACTAACATGTTCCTGTTACCTAGAAATTGACAGAATTAACCGTAGGTTTTATCAACAAATAACCAAACTTCTACAGGTTTTCTGTAGTGAGAGGCATATAAGGAGAGTAACAAACCTTAGGTGATTCAGGTCAAGTTAGCCCAAAGTAAGCTTTCCATTTCTGTGACACAACCGGTACAACAGAAAATTCAGATGCCACTAGGCCAGCAACCCACAAGCCATATAAAAACATGTACTCCACCATCAATGTGTATGAAAAAACAAAAGGGAAGAAATCACTAACAGAACAAAGATTACTGACAGAATGTACATCATACCACATATTTCATATGAAATTTAAATAGTGATATGGTGTCAGCTACATTCTATCAACTTCAAACTGCAAACTAAGTTTGAACTAGATCCCAGTACTTGGATTAAACTCTAGCCTCAACTTGTGTGTGGAACATCTCCAGAGACACATGATCTCAAGAAGCACACAATGTTAGTTCTATTACCACCGTACAACATTAAATATGAGAAATCTGCAAACACTTTTGCCATGCCAAATAACCTGCATATATGTCGCATCATCTAATTCTCCTGGTGGATTTTGTGGTTTCTTCACCTATAAGAACATGTAAAAGGAAATCATTTGTTGAACTACAAAAACATGACATACTCACAACTAAGTGAGTTATATTCACCTCCTTTGCCTTTTCCCACTCGTTGTAGGCTGTTTCTTGAACTATTTCGACATAGCTAACTAAGAAAGTAGCAGTCGATAACTGCACATGTATTGAGTTCAGTGTGCCACGCTCCATGCCATTGTTTCCTTTTTAGTAATCTAAACAGTCCTAACTTCTTATTTTACCCATAATATTTGCTAAAAGTAAAAGAAGACACTATAATTTTCACTTGAGAAACGCAGTCATCCTGAAAAGGCAGGAAAATAAGTATATAAGCCAGATCAAACATATTGAGTTCTCACATGTTCCCATACTATTTCGAAATCCAGAGAATGATGTGAGACAAGCAATGCATAATTGTAGTTGTCCCCAAAGATTTTTGGTCTGGTAGCTGATGCGCCATAAACCTCATCAGAACATAAATGGCCAGTAAGTCAGTTTATTACACCGTGAAAAACTATTGATCCGCCAAACTTTTCTAGTTCCAGCTGCTGCGAAGTGAGAACAAGCACATAAACTTCCAGTACTCAGCGGTCTCGGTTTGTCTGAGAGTTATACTAGGATTTCTGTTAGTCAAACCTTGTTGACCCTCATTTGGCATGAATTTTGTCAATTACTCAATCTATAGACATGACTCAGTATAAATATAAATGCCCACTTACGCTAGGCTGTACGTGTGGTTTTCAACTACTGTATGTAAGAAACATTCTAGAAAACTTTATAAGAAAGATTATGTGAATTTACAATTCAGATAGACATGTTATTGTTACAAGAGGAAATGGCAGTCAACATTATAACACTGATAGACATTCTTATAGTTCTTCAAAGATTAAAATACTTTTACATATCTCTGCTCCAAACTAACTTTACCATCTATTGAGACTGAATTGCGAGACAAATTTTTATAACTAAGGGCTACATTGTGCACAACAATTGACTAGCCAATTTTTTATTCTAAAAACAAGATGTCTCGACGGACACTAAGATTAAAGGATGAACTAACCATATGAGCTCGGCTCCTCCCATATGTGTTGCACTTCCCGCGAACGAGCCGTGGGCAAGCATGGCATACAACTCTAGATTATTCCAGAACTGCTAATGCACGCAACATTGCAGTTGGAGGAGGCAGATTGAGGTCCAACTACTGCGAGTAAATTGCAAAAAACCACCACAATTGAGAACCTTAATTCAAAAAACCGTCATCATTCGTTTTATTTTCAAAAAACCACCAACATTGTGGTGACAGTCTTCAAAAAACGCTGATAGACCGATTACAGCAGTT